AGCAAAGTGGAGTCACTCATGCTAAAGTTGTATATTTTAAACCAAAACTAAATTGTGTATCTGAGAGGGAGGAAGAGAGGGATAAAGAGGAATGGACCTCCTAGCCTCAAGTGACTTTTTTTCCTCTTAGTGCTGGGAACTGAACCTGGGGCCTTGCATGTGCTAGGCAAGTTTTCTATCACTAAGCTAAACCCCCAGGCCCTCCAGTGACTTTTCCAAATAAAATCTAATAGTCTTTATAAAACTTAACCTGATAAGTGTGGGTAGGGTATACCTCTCTGTGATTTCCAGTACACCCCCATGAAGGAAGGAAGGTTTATGAAGCTTTAGTGTGTGTTATGCAATTTATTGGAATGTTTGCTGAGACTACATTTTCCCTCAAGGTCACACTTTCCCCCAAGAGCTGTGTATCCATAAAACAAATCTCTGGAAAAGAACTCCCAGAGGTGTGTCAAGGTGCCTGTGGGCAATTAAACTCCTCCACCCACTTTCTTCAGCATAGTAGGAATGAATTTTATCTGAGTAGCTGTGATTAATGGCTTGAGATTTGGAGAGAACTGCCCTGTCATCCTACATAAGGCTTTCCCCCCTGGAGTTGGTCCAATTTTCTGTGCTTTTGTCCTCTCAACTCTACCTTCTTTATTATGTCAATAGCTGAGGTGTTGTGTGTTGTTATTAAGCCCTGACCAATATTTCTTGTTTTCCTAAAGATTATTTGAAACTTCCTGTTAAAACTCTACAGCTGTATTTAAAAAAATATAGAGCTATTGAGGTTCCCTAATTTTTCTTGGGTGAGCTCAGTATCTTTCCCAAAAATGTATATCACCTAAATTGTTCAATCCATTGTCATGTAAGTATTCATAAAATTTGTAATAATGCCATTTCTCTCATTCCTGATATTGGGAATTTGTGTATATTTTGTTCCTTGATGTGTCTGTTACTGGAACACTGGGGGTGTGTCCCATGGTGATTAAGAATGAAACCACAGATGGAGGAGGTAGAATACCAGAAAATTTATGTAATAGGTATAAAGACAAGGAAGTAGAACTCCCATTGTGCCAAGAGGGGGTCCTGAGCAGGATACCCACGGGGTGGGGGAACTGCTTCTAAGGAGTTTAGAAGGGAGCTCAGGTTCAGGCTATTGTGTAAGCAATATGATCTCTTCCCCATAGGAGACTATTTTTAGGGTCTGATGTATGTAGTGCTCACACAGTGCCATGTAGGACCTACGCTCCCTGAGCCAGCAACCCAACTGATTGTGTTCTGGGGATAGTCATGGGACAGCTGGCAGATGTTTCTAAGATCCCTGGGGAGTGGTAACTCAGCAGACTCCACTTTGGGCTTCCTGACTCCATTTTGAGGCCTCTGTCCTTACTGCCTAATAGAATCCTACTTTTTGTCTCAGTAACTCCTGTCTCAACTGGGTATATTTTAACAAGTTTCTTCATGGAACCAACTTTGGTTAGTGCATTGCGATACATAATAAATGCATTTATCACGGGGAGCTGGTACATGTTGGATTTTGATCCTTTCTACTTCCCCCTCTGTTCTCCTCCCTCCCGTGTTCCTCCATCCTCAGATTCCCTTCCCACGTCCACAAAGTCTGCATCACTGTTTTACTCTTTTCTTCTAATTATACTCTTTCTGTTCTGACCTTTATTTCCTTTCTTTGGCATATTTTGGGCTTCATTTGCTCTTACCATCCTATCTTACTGTGGAATCTAGGTCAGATCTGAAACAGTACCTCTTTCCTAATACGGACATTAGGTGCCATATTGTTCCCTCTAAGCACCATACTACTCTAGAGACCTTCTATAATATTGTGTTAAAATTTTCAGGCAGTTCAAAATACTTGCTAATTTCCCTTTGATATCTTCTTTGATCAAGGATATGGAGAAGTGGCTTACTTAGTTGACTTGGGGACTGTCCAGCTTGTTGTTGCTTTGGATATCTAATTTAATTCCTCTGTGACAGGAGAACTTACATGACATGAATGCTTTTAGAATGCTTTTCAAAACAGAAAGATATGAAAAGTTTGCTTTGATGTAAAATAGTGCAAAGGGGAGAAAGGGAATGCATGACTATGAGAACTACATGTGTGGATGGACCCAGGACTGAGGCGTGGCATGGCTTAGGAAGCAAGGTACTTCCCACCTCCCTCTTTTTTTCGTTGAGGTCAAACCCAGGATATCACACAAGTTTGGCAAGTATTCTATCCCACCACCTTCCCATGTCTTAAAAACCTTCAAGCTGTACTCAGTGGTACATGCCTATAATCCCAGTTCTTTGAGAAGCTGAGGCAGAAAGATAGCAAGTTCAAGGCCAGCCTGGACAACTTAATGAGACTTTGCCTAAAAATAAAAAATAAAAAGGGATGGGGATGTCGCTCATTGTGAAGGCCTGGGGTTCAATCCTAGTACCATCAAAAACAAAACACTTTCAACAAACAAAAAAGCTGAAAAAAAATCATCAGACACCCACACATTCACTAATGCTTTGCCATTCTGAACACTGTTATGGTGTTTACTTACTGCATTTAGCTGAATTGTGTAATACTGCAGACCTTGTGATATTTCATTCACATTAAGGGGGCTTAACAATCATTCTTTCATCTAAAAAGCCATAAATGGCCAAATGTTCCACACAAGCACTACTCACATGTCACACACTGCCTTTATTTTCCACAGGCTTATGAAGAAACTAGGCACCTGCCTTTGCCTTCATGGTGTTGTTTTCTGAAGGGCTGATGAACCGAAGCTCACGGCTCATATCCAGCTCTGTTCCTGGGTTGCCACGGGAGTCTTATTTCCTGTCACACCACGGCAGCCTGAGTCACAGCTACAGACTGTGTGGGCCACAGGGCTGCAAATACACTATCTGGTTCCTTCTGAGTACACCGTCCCTTCTTTTGACCTGACTTTAATGCTGATTATAATTCTGAGCTGGAGATGGCTCAACATAATAACAACTTGTGGCAATCCATAAAGAGCTGTTTATTCAGAAATTATTCATCAGAAATTTTTATTATTTCTAGCCATTTCCCGTTTTCTTCTTGGTAAGTCAAAGAGAATATCACAAAAGCCATAAAAGAATTAGTATCCACTCACTTAATAGCCACTCCATTAGGTTAGTACTGAATGCTTGACTGGGATGGTTTGATTTTTTTCTTTGTTAAATAGGGATACTCTGGACAACGTAAATGTCCTTTGTGTTATATCAGCCCATGGTACAAGATGGCAACCATGGGTGCAGGTGTGAGGTGATTTCACCACTGTTCAACTCTTTTTTCCTGAACAAATTGTCCATGTGGCCCTCTCGAATCGGGGGGCAGAAGGGCCAAGTATATGGGGGTCTCTGCTCCTTCTTCTGGGCTTTTGGTAGCTGAGGGTCCCGCCATGTCAGTTCTCACCCACCCTGGGCAACAGGCATTCAGCAGGATCTTGTCCCCTCCCCTCTCCTCACTTAGTTTCCTGGCATGGATTCTGGACAGGACTGTGACTCCTATCTTGGACACCCCATATGCACTGCTGGGCCACCCTTCCTTCTCGTGCACTTTATTCTTTGTGTCTTCCACGAACTTGTTCATGAGCCCCACCAGCTCCTCCTCTGTGATGGTCTCACTTCGAAATTTCTGCTGCAGCTCTGGGCTGCAACCTTTAAGGGCCATGAGACTCGTCATGCTTGACACATTCACCACTCTGCCTAAAATACATCACAAGACCCTATGTAAAGACATGTACACAAAAATGGTGAAACTCTTGCTATAATTTTAGAGGGCAAAGTTTCCACTGGGGAGACATTAGCAGTATAAGTTATAAGAAGAATACACATAGATGGTACTGGGGTACATGAAGAACTCCATTCCTGCCTTCATGTTTGGGGTAGGTAATGGAGTCAGCTGACACTGGAAAGAACTGCCATTTGAGATCCCAATGAACTGAATCTCAGAAGCAGTAGAACCTTCTGGAGGACCGGATGGGAGGCAAAAGAAGAGTTCAGAGTAAGCTATACATGCAATTGCTGAACTTTAAGCCATGCATTTAATTTTTCTAAAAAGGATTGCTTTTTTTTTTTTTTTTTGCTACCAGCGATCGAACTCAGGTCCTTGCGCTTGGAGGGCAGGTGGCAGAACCACTGAGCTAAATCCCCGGCCCAAGATTGCTTATTTCTATTGGCATGTTTTTAATGAGTGGTAGTTCAACTGCTCTCCAAATAGGTAGTGTCAGAGCAGTTCACAAAGTAAGAAACACGAGATTTATATGCAGTAAATAGAGCATATTCATAAGAAGTTAAAATGGCCCTGGAGGTAGGCAGGGTCCAATTATGGAAATCAGTAGGAACTACGCTAAGGGCTTGGCTTTTTGTGGGGAGTAGTCAAGTGGTGTTCAGTATCTTGGGAAAGGAAGTGACTCAAGAAGAGAGCCTCTTAGGAGGGTTGCAGTGGTGCAGTTTGATGGCTGAGGGCCCGTGCTGGAGCTGGGGACGTTCGGTGGGGATAATCTTAGCATCTGGTTAGCTGTTAGGAGGCAGCAGTCCACGGTGACTGCCAGGATGCCGGTGAGTGGCCCAGATGATTGAGGGAGAAAGATCAGCATTTTTGGGGAAATGTCTATTTTAGATTGGGGGACACCAGGAAGAGATGCAGAGGCAGAAAGACAAATATGTGTGGGAGCTCTGGAAGCGTTCTAGACATATGACACATGTGGAGCTGGGGATCTAGAAACTGGTCATAGAAGAAGTTCCACCAGCCCGAATGAGATCACTTAGCAGAGAGGAGCTTAGGAGCCTCAAGGGCCTCTAAGTATGAGCAGCACAGAAAAAACTAAAGAGCTAACGTGTGGAGACCTTTGAACCAAGACCTGAAGGATTAGAAAGAGGCAGATGTGCAAAAAGCAGGAGGCAGTTGCACCGGTGGCCACTGCAGAAACAGGGACAAAGGAGCAGAGCTGTACCTGCAGGTGGAGAGGCAGCAGGCAGGGCCAGGTCAGCACCACACTTACCTCCTGGTTTTATTAGAGGGAGCAGCTCTGTGCAGACGTCTCGGGTACCATAAAAGTTTGTTTTGATCGTTACTTCTGCTTGAATATGAAAGGGCGTGGGATCTGCCACTTTTGAGAGAGAGAGAGAGGGAGAGAGAGAGACAACAAGAGTCAATAAGCAGTAGCCACAAGGTGGAATTTTACAGAAATCCAATAGAAATCTGGTCACTTCCAAGAAAGGTCAGTGTCTAGTTACAGTACTGTTCTAATGTAAATTTTATGGTTTGATAATGTTCTATTATTGTTTGTATGGCAGGACTGGGGGAGGCTGTGTGAAGACGCCTGAACCATAGCAGAATCTTAGTCTCTTTATTTCAAAATGAGTTAAACTGCCCTAACTCCTAGTTACAGATAAATTCTACGAGGAAAACCTAGGCCTCAAAAACACAAGGTCCAGCAATCCCTAGCAATCCCTCAGTCCCACCCTCAGCCTCACGGCCCCTGAGGGCTCTGCTCTTGCAGCTGCCCCCAGCCTCTCCTGCTCCTCCTTGGGAGCCTGTTCTGCACCCCACAAGCCAGAGGGGCTCCCTTCCAGTGCCACCTCCACAGGCACAGCCACCCTGTGGGCACCCCAACCCCTTACTCTTGAAGGCGATGCCCGCGTTGTTGATCAGCACGTCGAGCCCCCCGTACTCCTTGCGCAGGAAGTCTCGCACAGCGCGGATGCTCTGCAGGTCGTCGATGTCCAGCTGGTGGAAGCGCGGGCTCAGGCCCTCGGCCTGCAGCTGCTGCACCGCCGCCCGGCCTCGCGCCTCGTCCCTCGCCGTGAGCACCACGTCCCCCGAGAACCGCCGGCAGAGGTCGCGGGTGATGGCGAAGCCGATCCCCTTGTTGGCCCCGGTCACCAGCGCTACGCGGCTGCAGGACGACATGGCTCGGAAGCAGTTGGAGAAACTCTCACGGACCGGTACGAGGAGCAGCCAGAAACAGCGCGACGCCACGGACCTAAGCTATGGAGCCTGGAGGGCGTCCTCCCCGGACCCCGTGCAGCGCGCAAGCGCAGACGCACGTACGCCCCTGGCAGGGCGTGGCTTCGTGGACTCCCAAAAGGCTGCTAAGAAAGTTTTGAGATAAAGGACTCAACTGTCATCCACAGGTTTTAGTGTTTCTAAAGGTTGCTGTTTGTCTTTATTGGGGTGTGTTTAATGCGAGGTGGTGCCTCTGGTGTCGCATTACTTGGGGTAAAGAGTTAAAAGAATTTACAAGGAAAGAACCATAGTTTCTTTACTTAATTCTGTACAGCACACGCAGCCTGTTGGTAAGGAGTTAAAATGAGCCTGCTGTTTAATCTAAATTTACGTCAACCAATATACACACATTTCTTACACTTCATAGTTTCCTTTTACTTGCAAACTATAATACAATATCATACTTACAAACTGAAAACAAAATAACCCACTTGTCATTGATTGCTCCTGTTTTGTGTTCTCATTTGTGTGTGTGTGTGTGTGTGTGTGTTCAGTTCTGTGTCACTGTATCACACCACATATAAGACAGAGCATTTGCATCAGCAGGAGAGCTCTCTTGCTACTCTTCGATAAACAAACTCCTGTCTTGCTCCCAGCCCACCCAAGCAGACATCTGCTCACATTTCTACCGTTTTGTTATGCTTAAAATACTACATAGATGAAATCATGCAATCTGTAGCCTTTTACGGTGATGTTCTTTAGTTAAGATGATTCACCTGTTTTGCATTTTCTCCCTTCTCCCAGTGATTGGTTAGTCACTGGCCTTTGCACACCACTAGCTACTTCCTTTCTGAGCCAGTATTAGAAGGGCTTGTTTTGGATCAGATTCATTGTGAGAACTCCTCTGTGGGAGCCCCTGTTGTTCAGGGAACTTTGAACATGTGAGGGTCCTGGTGTTTAAAAAGGCAAACCCTAAAAGGCGCATGAACCAAGATTTTCAGATTGTTTGTCCTTTTAGTTCTTGTACCAAAACAGGAATTGACAAGTCAACAGGGCTGGATGATTCAGAAAATACAATATGCAAAATATCTTATGTTAACAAGAAGTGTTCCCAAACCATCCTGTTTTGCCCACTGCACCTTGTGCCAAGGGCTGAGATGAATTTTACAAAACAAAGTTCATTTTTGAGAGTTTTGAGTGTGCAAGGGGAGATGTAAGTCTCAAATCTGCCTTCCTGAGGACTGGGCTTGGGGATATTTATGGGATAAAGAAGCAAGGTGGTTTCAGGCAAGGGGAAAGGTGATTGGAAGTGAGTAATCAGTGGCCTATGCAGAGACCCCTGTAGTCAGGTTCCAGTCCCCACCTCCCCAGTGTTTGACGCAGGCCTGAGAAAACAATACACTAAGAGACAGAAGTAAGAGAGAGAAAGCGGGGTGCCAGGATGACCAACCCTGGTGGAACCCATAAGGGCACTGATCAGTCCCGGGCACTGACTTTTATTGGCAATCAATTGGGGTAAAGGCGACCTGTGGTTTCTATGGAAATTAATGTAAACAAGGCTCATAAAGGACAAATCAAAGCATTCTTGAATCCGGAACTGAATAGACAAAATATATGATTGTAATTAGAACATTGTCCTTCTCGTCTGAAGGTTTTAGTTATTGGAATGGAATGTGGGTGCGAGTTACTCTGACCTCGGCACGAAGGCTTGGCCCAGACTCACTTCTATAAACAAGCCAATTTTGGGGTTAACTCTTCACAGCCTGCTTTGGGCATCATCAATATTAGAGTCCTCTGCAGTCTACATGTGCTTAATCAAACTTTATGGTTCTGCATGGGGGAAAGTTCTGCATTTTCAGAAAATTGCAGTATTAGCCTGATCTAAAGTGGAGCTTTTGGCTTCCTGTTATCAAAGGTCACTCACTGGACATTTGTACAGAACCAAGTCAAGTGAGTGATTTTGACAAAATTTGTCTTCAAGTCCCTGAAAAACAACCAAAGCAACTGTATCATCCCGCACATTACAGATACTGTTTACACCAAAGCTGTTGGGAGACTGATAACATATTGCTTGCTTAGCTGTGTAGACACAGGTCCTAAATAATTAACTTAAACTAAAAGTCAGGCCCTAAGTGAGTTAACATACCAGAGGGCCCCAAAAAACAATCAGACCTAATAAAATGCAGGGAACAAAAACCAGATCCTTAAACAAATGGAAGAAACCTTGGAGGAAGCAAAATACAAATAAAACAGTTTATACTGTGGACATCAAAGGCCTACCTGCAACCAGGAGCATCCCTGCTTTGATACCAAAAACTATATAAAGAACTTTTTTTTTGTATTAAATTCTTTTATTGGTACATTGTAGGTATACAACACAATTACATTTCTCATTGGGAATTGTACCTTTATATAATGCATCTTGGTTCTTATTTTTTCCCCATTCCTAGCCCTCCCTTCACGCCCTCCACCCTTCCCTATTTACAAAGACTTTATTTCCATTTTTTCCATTTCTCATCATTTTTTCCTTTCCCTTCTCCCCTTTCCCCTGCCCCTCCCACTACCCCTACCCATTTGGACCTTTTCTTCCTATTTTACATTATCGATTATTCATTCTAATTATTGGTACATTTTAGGTATACAATATAATGACATTCATCATTGGAAAGTTGCACCTTTACATAGTCTCTCTTGGTTCTTATTTTTCACCCTTGCCCAGCCCTCCCTTCAACCCCTCCAGTCCTCCCTATTTACAAAGATTTTGTTCCTATTTTTCCATTTTCTCATATTAATCCCATTCCCTTCTATCCTTTCCTCTAGCCCTCCCACTTCCTTCCCCTTTGCCCCTTTTCTTCCTATTTCACATTACCTGTTATACATTTAGTCCTTATTTACACTTTCAGTTTCTCACACCAGAGAAACTATTGGGTATTTACACATGTGTGTCCTATTTATTTCACTTAAGAGTATTGCCTCAATGTGCATCCACTTAGCTATAAATGTCTCTAATTTCTCATTTTTTATGGCTGAGTAGTACTCCATTTTATAAAAAAACCCCACATTTTCTTTAACCAGTCTCCAGTTGATGGGCATTTGGGCTGTTTCCAAGTTTTAGCAATTACAAACTGTGCTGCTATGAACATGGGTGCACATATATCACTGTGGTATGATTCTTTTAATTGTTTGGGGAAGATCCCCAGGAGTGGAATAGCGGGGTCAAATGGGACTTCCAGTCCTAGTTCTTTGAGGTATCTCCATACTGATTTCCACAGTGCTTGCACCAGTCTACACTCCCACCAGCAGTGGAGAAGGGTTCCTCTTTCCCCACAGCCCCGCCAGCATTTGTTATTGGTTGATTTCATGATAGCAGCCATTCTTTCTGGAGTGAAGTGGAATCTCAGCGTTGTTTTCATTTGCATCTCTCGAATGACCAGTGATGTTGAACATTTTTCCATGTATTTATTTGTTATTTCTACTTCTTTGTGTGAGAAATGTCTGTTCATTTCAGATGCCCATTTTTGGATTGGGTCTTTAAATTTGGGAGGTCTGATCTTTTTAAGTTCTTTATAGATTCGAGATAGTAGACCGTTGTCTGAGGTAGAGCAGGTGAAGATTTTTTCCCACATTGTGGGTTGTCTCTTCACACTGCTGGTGGTTTCTCTTGCTGTGCAGAAGCTTTTTAATAAGAAGAGATCCCATTTGTTGACTGTTTGTGTTAAAGAACTTTGAGTCTAAACTTCCATGGTGTCTGCCTTATGGAACACCCCTCTCCAACTAGTGGAGAGTTTTTCTTTTATTCTTTCTGATAAACACACATTTGGCCATTCCCCACTGCTTGCTCTTTGCTGTTTTGTTGGCTTCAATCTTTGTTGCCTCAAAACAAGGACCCAAGAGCTAGAGGGATCTGATTATATCTTTGGTGCCCAACATGGGACATTGTCTTCTCTACAGAGAAAGAAATGTGGCAGAATGGTTGAACATACATGCACACAGTCTGTCTGTCCCTTACAGAACTCTAAGAAACAAAGGTTACTCTGCCAGATAGTTAAACATTCTTAGAGCAGCTGCCACTCTTAAAGAAGAGGACACGTTCTCTAGCACCTCCTGGCTAATCCCCCACTGAAGCCAGTGGGAATGTTAGCCAGACAGGCAGCTGGATTCCTTTCGAGAGACAGATCTCTGGTTGTGTGGAGCCACTAAAAGCTGAGAGAGCAACTGAGGAGCCATGGACAGGGCCACTTCCCAGTGGGCACCCAAAGGCTCCTCAGTGCAAGGTGCATACTAACAACCTGACTAGATAACCAGAGGAGAAATCTCCACTTATCCATCATCCTCACCTCTACTCCTCAGTGAGGTGAGAAGTAAAATTCTCTCAGTGATCTCCTGGTAGCCTGTGTCCTAGAGTGACCTGAGACAAAACTGTCAGAGCCCTCTCTTAAGCCTCCATTAAGAGATGAGCTACAGGGTTGGACTTTTCTCTCTCTCTCTCTGCTAGTTTGATAGGCCTTCTCTTCAGACATGTCTTGATAACATTTACAGGGCCTGGAATAGGTATACACAGTAACCCTCTGGAACCCCTGAGAAAGGTTTGCTAGGATAAAGGTCAAAGTTAAGAGAGAGTCCTCTCAGGCTTTTTATCCATTCCAACTCCCTGGGAGTTAGCTTTGGAACTCCTTGGCTCGCTGGACCATCTTCTCTAAACAAAAGCCAAATGCCAGCACTGGTTTTCTCTCTAAGAGGTTGGGCTAAGGCATCTTGAAAAAGTGTTTGCCTTTGGCGGGGGATTTGGCTCAGTGGTTTCACCGCCTGCTGCGCAAGCGGAAGGATCTGAGTTCGATCCCTGGCACCAAAAAAAAAAAAACTGTTTGCCTTTAGCACAGGAGAACAGCCAGCAGAAGAATGATTTGCACTTATGCATTACATATGCTCAGGCTTAAAAAAAAAAAGCCTTTAGCTAAATATGAGCCAAAGGGTCACAGGACCAAGGGAAGGGGGCACAGATGCTTCTGGTCACTTCCTAGAGCACCTCCAGTCTGCCATTACTGGTACTGTACTGGTCAAACTTAAGGGACGCCTGAGGGGAGACAAAATGGAAAAAAATGCTGTTGTGGTTAGCCACCAGCACCAGGACAGAGTGAAGCCTTGACAGACCTTTGACTCCTCCACTCTTTGAAAT